AATCACATTGACAGGTGATTATTTGCACCTGACTGGGTCATTTACTTTTGTCTAGAAATATATACAACATATTTATAGGTCCCAGCAATGTTTTAGACATGCTGTAGTATACCTTGAAGCATTGTGTTATGAAAAAGCATCCCTATACTGTTGACAGCCCAGTGACATTTGATAAATGCGCACTGCTCCAGCTAAACCTAACTGTATTTGTTATCACTGTCAAATACAAACGTGCCTATCTGTCTGTCTGCCTGCCTGTCTCTACTTATCTGTCTAGCTCTGCTTATCTGTCTGTCTGCCTGTGTGTGCCTGGAGTATGCAGTGGACCCTCGGCTAACGCCTTTAATCCGTTTCATAGGGCTAGCCTTGAACCAAATTAATTTTCCCCATATGAAATAATGGAAATTAATCCATTCCAGACACCCAAAAGTATTAAACAAAATATTTTTTTACATGAAATATACATTTCCCTACACAGAAAACAATGATACATGAAGAATAAAACAATAATAACATCACACTTACCTTTATTGTGGACTTGTTGATGAGTGATGAAACGGGAGGAAGGCAGAGGATGAAGGTGTTCTATTGTTTGGAAGGGGAATCCCCTTCCATAATGACTTCAGGTAACAAGTCCTTTTCTGGCTTGTGTCCTGGGAGTGCCTTTTCCTCCTGAGTAATGTAGGTCCTGTTTGGCATTTTCTTCCTAAACAGGCCTATTTCATCACAATTGAACACTTGTTGGGGTTTTAATTTTTCAGCCTCTATGTATACCTTAACCCTTTGACTGTTTTGGTCATATATATACATTTTACGAGCCACCGTGTTTGACGTATATATACTCATAAATTTTAGCGGCTTCAAATCAAGCAGGAGCAAGCTGGTAGGCCTACATGTGATAGAATAGGTCTGTGTGCACCATATAAAAAAAATACTGCAGCACGCAGTGCATAATGAGAAAAAAAAAACTCCAACCGTTTTTTTTTTTAATTAAAATGCCGACTTTGTTGTCTATTTTCGTATAGTATTTATGGGTGTATTCTCATTTTCTTGGTCTCTTTGATAGAATGGAAAACATATTATAGAAATAGAGGTGATTTTGATTGGTTTTATTGGTTTTACTATGAAAAGAACCTGGAAATGGAGCTCAAAATAGGGAAAATGTTTGATTTTTGTCAATGTTCAAAAGTAAACAAACGATGTCATTGTCCAATAAATGTCCAGGTAGCCATTCTGATATGCAGTCACGAATGGGTTGACATTATTTGTACAATTATTACAGTACTGCAGTAGTCTGCGTAACTATTTTTTGTTTGAATAAAAATTCAAAATAGAAAGCAAGAGTAATATCAGAGGGGCCTGGAGATGTGACTGATGAACAAAGAAAATGTTAATTTAGAGCCAGGAATGTCTGCATTGTTCATTCTGGACCTTATTTTGAAATTGTCATGTTTTTTTAATTTTCGTGAAATTGGCTAAATTGCAAATTTCTGACCACATTACTGGGTAGTTTAAATCGGTAAATGGGCAGTTTCTTGTACTCAATCGATAGAAAAAATGGAGTTCTAAAGAAATAACTATGAATTTGGTCGACTGGAACAATGGAATTAGCTGAAAATTGGGCTCAAAGTGGGCGAAATCGCCGATTTGTAAATATTGCCAAGGCCACTAACTTCACGAGAGCGTAATTCTGTCAGTTTTCCATTAAATTTCATTTTTTGGTGCCATTACAATCGGGAAAAGATTCTCTATTATTTCATAAGAAAATTTTTTTTTTTTTTTTTTTTTTAATTTTGCGACACCAGGAGACACCTCAGGATTGGGGGTTGCGACAGTCAAGGGGTTAAAGTCCTGCACATAGTTTTCAGGCGCTTTTTTGTCAGAACTGGTAGCCTCACCATGCCTTATCATACCATACCACCATCACAACCACTACTACCCTCTACCACCATTATTACCACCTTCTACCACCACCCTCTACCACCATCACTACCACCCTCTACCACCATCACAACCACTACCACCCTCTACCACCATCACAATTGAATATCAAAATGGTATACAATACCGACAGGTTGGTAGATAAGACATAGGCAACATTTAGGCAACTTTATTCCGAAACGTTTCACCTACACAGTAAGCTTCTTCAGTCAAGTACAGAAAGTAGGCAGGAGCAGTGGAGATGTGAAGACGATGTAATCAGTCCATCACCCTTGAAGTCATAGATTTAAGGTTGTCAGTTCCTCAGCCTGTTGAAGTTCTGTTCCAAAGTCTGGAACTAACAGCGTTAGTTCCAGACTTTGGAACCAACCATCACAATTGCTACCACCCTCTACCACCATCACTACCACCCTCTACCACCATCACACTCACTACCACCCTCTACCACCATCACAATCACTACCACCCTCTACCACCACCACTACAACCCTCTACCACCATCACTACCACCCTCTACCACCACCACTTTCGTATTTTTCTTCAAACTTTTTCTTAAATTATATGTGTTTCTTACATTCTTTACCATAGGGCTGGCACTAGAAGCTTTCTTGGGGCCCATGGTGGCTTATTTAGCAGTTACAAGCCCCAAAAACAATGGAATAATACAAAATATATCGCATGTATGTGCAGAATCGTCCTCACTGGCTTTGTAAACAATGGCACACTGGCTGGTACATGGAGTGAGTGGCCGGGCCTGCTTAGGGCGCCATGTCGACATGTTCAGGACGAAAGCTCTTAACTGAGTTCTTTGGTGTTAGCCGAGCCAATTTTTTTACGCCAAAACGAGGTGTTAGCCGAATTTGGCGTTAGCCGATGCAGGTGTTAGCCAAGGGTCCATTGTATATCAAACTCCTTGAAGAATGGTGTTATGACAACTGTTGATAGCTCAGTGACATTCGATAAATGGGCACTTGGGGAACCCTGGCTTTATTTGTTTTCACTGATATACACAAACATGTTTGTCTGTCTGTCGGTCTATCTATCTGTCTATCTTTGCCTGGAATTTTTAGGTTATCCTAGGTAATTTACGCTATGTATAATTGTACTTATGTGTACATGTGAGAGACAGAGATATAGATAGACAGAGATATAGACAGATAGAGATATAGAGAGAGAGACAACAAGAAAGAAGGAACACTGCAGCAGGCCTACTGGCCCAGGCAAGGCAGGTCCATGTCAGCCCCCCCCCCCCCCCTAGGTTTAGATCAATGACCCACCTAGTCAGGTCACATCCACTGAAGGAAGGAGCACATCAGACCTAGTAGCACAAGCTAGTCAGGTCCAACTCACACCCTCGCTGTATTTGTTATCACTGTTACACACAAACATTGTCTGTCTTTCTGTCTGTCTGTCTGCTTATCTGTCTAGCTCTGTTTATATGTCTTTCTGTCTGCCTGCCTGTGTGTGCCTGGAGTATATATCAAACTCTTTGAAGAATGGTGTTATGACAACAGTTGACAGCTCAGTGACATTTGATAAATGGGCACTCGGGGAACCCTGGCTTTATTTGTTTTCACTGATACACACAAACATGTTTGTCTGTCTGTCTATCTGTCTGTCCATCTTTGCCCAGAATTTTTGGGTTATCCTAGGTAATTTACACTGTATAATAACTGTACTTATGTGTACATGTGAGAGAGACAGATATAGACAGAGACAGCCAGAGACAACCAAAGCCAGCCAGCTAGCCAGCCGAATACATAAAAACATAAGAAAGAAGGAATACTGCAGCAGGCCTACTGGCCTGTGCAAGGCAGGTCCATATCCTCCCCCCCCCCAGCTTTGACCAATGACCCACCTAGTCAGGTCACATCCACTGAAGGCAGGAGCACGACATCAGACCTAGTAGCACAAGCTAATGAGGTCCAACTCACACCCACCCATACTCATGTATTTATCTAACCTATTTTTACTTTCCTCTGAAAAGGGGAGTGTTATGCAACATGGCATCAGTGAATCCCTGGTGTTTGCCACACTATTTGCTCTAGCTGGCACTCAGTTGAACTGGTGCTCCCACAAGGTACTAAGTGGTCCCAGATTTTTTTAATACTGCGCAGACCCATTCTTTCAAGTCTAGGCGACTCAAGCCTATTGTGCCAAATTTGAAGGAATGAAAAATAAAACGTAGCTCTATGTTCGGAGTGCTACGCATACAAACGTAGATCTACGTTTGGACAGTTTAAGGATTAATAATAATAATAACAGTAAGGAGAAACTTCAGAAGGCTGCCAGTAGTTGGCGCCACCATCAGCAAAACATTGGTAACCACTACTTTTCACCTGTCTAGACTTAGGTAGTCTATAAGTACAGTATTAGGTTAAGTCTGCCCGAAATGCCTCAGCATGATAGAGGCTTTCTTTGCTCCAATCATGTTATGATATGTAAACACACACTGTAACCTTTGCAAAGAAATAAATATTTTATTTATTTATTTATTTAAGGAACTTCCCTTGAAGGGGAAGTACGCATCCTGAAATTTCATTCATATCCAGACCGAACAACAGTTCATATCCTGAAAACTTTGCATGGTGGGGCATTCTTAAGCTGAGGATCCACTGTATATTGTTTATTATGTTTTACATATGTTCATGACATTGAAAATATGCATTCATAGTTTTTATATATTTAGCTGAAGCTGAGATATATTAGGGAGATAAGGTGCTTTTTAACAGTAGTTTTGAAAATGCTGACTGAGTCAGTGGTTCTGGAGATTTCTGGCAGAGAGTTCCAGATTTTGGGCCCTTTTATATTAGAATTTTTTGTTCTGTAAATGTAGGATGCACTGTAGTAAGGATGTTACAGTCCAGTGGTTCATTTGCACTGATGTCAGCACACATCTGGCAAGACAGTGGTTGAGTGAATGATGGCGAATGTGTTTCCTCATTTCTTTGGGTTCATCCTACCTCATTAGGACATGGCTGGTGTGTTAAATAAAAAAGGTTCATTATTAGGTATTCATATCAAGGATTTATCACTTACTTTAATTATTTGGCCACCAGAATGCCTTTGAAGCCCAGTTTCTGGTCAACCAGCTTCAACTCTATTATGGCGGAAGTGACAAGGCCAAGACAAAACTTTTGGAAAAGTTCCATCATGCCCCAGATCAATTCAAGCACATGGAACTTATTGATCAGCTGGAGAGACTAGATCTGAGTATGCTCTCTCTTAAAGATAAGTAGAACATCACATAAAGCAAACACAACATATTGTAGGATAGACTTCATTAATTGCAAACGTTTAATTTCCACAAAAGAATAGTGTTTTGCATACTGTACCTATTTTATATTTCTTGTACATACGCTATTAAAATATGTATTAGTACTAATATGCTCATGTTATACAGTGATGGGATTCTATACATCTTTTATGGTGATAATATGCTGTACATTAAATGTTTTTTCTTAGTTTTTGTATTATTGCATTATAACCAATTACTCTGTGTAGATAAAGAACAATCAGGCTTTATTATACTGTATGTAGATAAAGAACATACAGGTGTAATTTCATTGACCTTCAGAAATAGGCTGGTATGTATATTTGCATAATTGGCTGCCTTAGCAAAGCAGAATATTAAGATATTTATTATACTGATTGGAGGTAAATATGTTTTATCGAAGAGCAAGGTACAGTGGACCCTCGACCAACAAAGGCATCGACTAACGCCAAAATCAACTAACGGCACTCTTGGCATCAAAAAATTGGCTCTACCAACGGCAAAAACTCGTCTAAAGGCTTTCGTCCTGAACGTGTCCATGCGGCCTGAGTGCGGTCTGAGCGGGCCCAGCCACTCCAAGACTCCATGTACAGCCAGTGTGCCAGTGTTTACAAGCCATTTCAGTTGATTCCATGTGTACCTGCGATATATTTTGTATTATTCCAGTGTTTTTAGTGCTTGAATAACAAAAAAGGCACAATACTGTGACTGGAATGATACACAAATAACCCGCACATAAATGAGAGAAGCTTACAACGACGTTTCGGTCCGACTTGGACCATTTACAAAGTCACACTAACCAGAAGTGGAGCAGGACGGCTATACAGTGGACCCCCGCATAACGATGGCATCACATAGCGATTATTTCGCATACCGCTTACTTTAATTGCAAAAATTTTGCCTCACATACCGCTTAAAAACCCGCTTACCGATTTTCGTCCGAGACGCGTCCAATGTGCGGCCTGAGCCACGCTCACATGTTCCGCCGGTGGCATTGTTTACCAGCCAGCCTCCGCGGTAACATCCAAGCATACAATCGGAATATTTCGTATTATTACAGTGTTTTCGGTGCTTTTTCTGGAAAATAAGTGACCATGGGCCCCAAGAAAGCTTCTAGTGCCAACCCTACAGCAATAAGGGTGAGAATTACAATAGAGATGAAGAAAAAGATCATTGATAAGTATGAAAGTGGAGTGCATGTCTCCGAGCTGGCCAGGTTGTATAATAAACCCCAATCAACCATCGCTACTATTGGTGGTACAGCTGCTGCTGCTGCTGCACTGTCAGCTGCTGCTGCTGCTGCACTGTCAGCTGCTGCTGCTGCTGTAGCACCGTTGTTGGTGTGGCTTATTGAGAATACCAAGAAACAATTAACCCCAGAGGATTTGCCACCCAGGATAACCCAAAAAAGTCAGTGTCATCGAAGACTGTCTAACTTATTTCCATTGGGTCCTTAATCTTGTCTCCCAGGATGCAACCCACACAAGTCGACTAACACCCAGGTGAACAGGGAAAAAATGCCTGGAACTAGTGCTCATATTGGTGAATTTAAAGCCAGCAAAGGTTGGTTTGAGAGATTTAAGAATCGTAGTGGCATACACAGTGTGATAAGGCCTGTTCTGGAAGAAAATGCCAAACAGGACCTACAGTACTCAGGAGGAAAAGGCACTCCCAGGACACAGTGTCTCATCAGTCATTGCTGCATCTTCAATAAAGGTAAGTGTCATTCATTCTTCATTTAGTAGACTAGTACATGCACAATATATACTGTGCATGTACTACTCTACTATTGTGCATGTATCCTTCTCTTTGTGTGTGGGAAAATGTATATTTCATGTGGTAAAATTTTTTTTTTCATACTTTTGGGTGTCTTGCACGGATTAATTTTATTTCCATTATTTCTTATGGGGAAAATTCATTCACATAACGATTATTTCGCATAACAATTACCCCTCTTGCACGGATTAAAATCGTTAACCGGGGGTCCACTGTATATAGGCAGGAAGAGGTGGTGGTAGTAGAAGTAGTAGTGCAAGAATGGTATATAATACCGACAAGATGAAATTAAGACACATGCGCAACACCCGGGCATCCCTATCGTAGACGTTTCGCCATCCAGCCAGCCACTGGATGGCGAAACGTCCACAACAAAGACACCCAGATGCCGCACATGTGTCTTAATTTCATCAGTAGTAGTAGTAGTAGTAGTAGAAGAGGTAGTAGTAGTGGTAGTGGTAGAAGTGGGGAATAAGGAAGACGAGCCAGTCAAATACAAAGGAAGGGGAGCACTGCAAGGGAGCTAGGTGCCCACAGAGGGAGAGCAAGCTCACAGAGGTGCGTGAAAGGGGAAGTGGTGAAATAAATGAAGAAGGAACAGAAACACGAGACAGAAGAGAGAAAGACAACCCAGAGGAGAAAAAGGAAAGAGGAAAGGGGAAGAGGGAGAAGAAGAAAAAGAAAAAGAAAAAATGAGGAGTCAGGTTAAGTCACGGAGAAACTGGTCGATCTCTTTCTGACAGACTTAGGGAGCACAAAAATAGTGTTAGGCTTGCCGACACTAACAATGCTCTTTCCTGTCATGTCAAAGATCATAGTCATCCTATTGACTGGTCTTCTGCTAAAACTGTCTTCCCTACTTCCAACTCGAACAATCGCCATCTAGTTGAATCCTCTCTAATACACAACTTTCCTTGTATAAATCTTAGCCCTGGCTTCATCTCTGTAGATGCTTTCCTCTCCCACTACATTGTAAAATGCTCCAAACTTCAGAACACCCATGACTTAACCTGACTCCTCATTTTTTCTTTTTCTTTTTCTTCTTCTCCCTCTTCCCCTTTCCTTTTTCCCCTTTTTCTCCTCGGGTTGTCTTTCTCTCTTCTGTCTCGTGTTTCTGTTCCTTCTTCATTTATTTCACCACTTCCCCTTTCACGCACCTCGTGAGCTTCTCTCCCTCTGGGGGCACCTAGCTCCCTTGCAGTGCTCCCCTTCCTTTGTTTTTGACTGGCCGTCCTCCTTATTCCCCACTTCTACCACTACCACTACTACTACCTCTTCTACTACTACTACTGATGAAATTAAGACACATGTGCAGCATCTGGGTGTCTTTGTTGTGGACGTTTCGCCATCCAGTGGCTGGCTGGATGGCGAAACGTCTACGATAGGGATGCCCGGGTGTTGCGCATGTGTCTTAATTTCATCTTGTCGGTATTATATACCATTCTTGTACTACTACTACCACTCCCTCTTCCTGCCTATATATAGCCGTCCTGCTCCGCTTCTGGTTAGTGTGACTTTGTAAATGGTCCAAGTCGGACCGAAACGTCGTTGTAAGCTTCTCTCTTTTATGTGCAGGTTATTTGTGTATTTTTAGTGCTTGTAACTGCTAAATAAGCCACCATGGGCCCAAAGAAAGTTTCTAGTACCAGCCCTGTGATAAAGAAGGAAAGAAACACAATAAAATTCAAGAAAAAACTTGTAGCAAAGTACCAAAGTGGAGGAGGAAGAGAGAGGGGAGAATGTGCCTTCTGCAGTGATTCAGTGATTCTACGATATGCACGATGCTAAAGCAGCAGGTATCGATAAAGGCTATAGTGCCAGCCAGCGATAAAGTGTAGAATTAACAGTGTAGCAAGTAAGTGATAGAAAAACGACACGAAAGTAATTCTCCAATGTTGTTGGATGTGTGTATATCCACTGAACATATGCCGGCCTGCTATCTTCCACTACCCTAAACCTCTGCCAGCATCTCCTCCATCAAACTAGCTAATTAAACTATTATCTCCTCCAAGGTAAGTGTAAATATAAAAATGTAAGCATAAAATTAAATATATTAAGCGTAAATATAAAAGGACCCCAGTGGAAATACGTAAGTCACTCTGACTTTTTTGGGTTATCCTAGGTACTTTACACATATGCTTTTATGTATGATAATCTATGTAACTGTATTTATGTATACCTGAATAAACTTATTTATAAATTAAAATGTAAATATTTCTTATTTATAAATTAACCCCTAAACGGTCCAAACATATACGTTCACTCGCGTAGCGCCCCAAATTTTTTTAGAAAAAAAAATCGTTTTTTTTTTTTTAATAGGAAAAAAGAGCATGTGGTGCCCAGGCATCCCCAGTTATTTTAATATGGCACACAGTGAGTGCGCACACCCATTCTCTCATGTCTAGGCAACTCAGGCCTGTCGTGGCAATGTTGAATGAATGACAAAGAAAATGTATATATACGTTTGGGGCGCTACGCAAGAGAACGTATATATACGTTTGGACCATTTAGGGGTTAAAATGTAAATATTTCTTATTTATAAATTACATTAAGTGTGATGGTGGTGATGGCAGAAGCTTCCACCTTCACCAACACAGCTTCTCTCAGTGGCAGCCCTTAACCCCTTGACTGTTGCAACCCCCAATCCTGAGGTGTCTCGTGGCGTCACAAAATTTCAAAAAATTAAAAATTATTTTTTCTTATGAAATGATAGAGAATCTTTTCCTGATTGTAATGACACCAAAAAAAACGAAATTTGATTAAAAACTGACGGAATTATGCTCTCACGAAGTTTGCGACCTTGGCGATATTTACAAATCGGCAATTTCGCCCACTTTGAGCCCTATTTTTGGCTAATTCCATTGCTCCAGTTAACCAAACTCATAGCTATTTCTTTAGAACTTTGTTTTTTCTATCGAATGAGTACAAGAAACTGCCCATTTACCGATTTCAACTACCCAATAACGTAGTCAGAAATTTGCAATTTAGCCAATTTCACGAAAGTTAAAAAATATGACAATTTCAAAATAAGGTCCAGAATGAACAATGCAGACATTCCTGGCTCTAAATTAACATTTTCTTTGTTCATTAGTCACGTCTCCAGACCCCTCTGATATTACTCTTGCGTTCTATTTTGAATTTTTATTCAAACAAAAAATAGAAGATTTACTGTTATGCAGACTACTGCAATATTGTAATAATTGTACAAATAATGTCAACCCATTCATGACTGCATATTAGAATGGCTAGTTGGACATTTATTGGACAATGACATCATTTGTTTATTTTTGAACATTGGCAAAAATCAAACATTTCCCCTTCTTTGACCTCCATTTCCAGATTTTTTTATAGTTAAACCAATCAAAATCACGTCTATTTCTATAATATGTTTTCCATTCTATCAAATGAGACCAA